GGTAGGAGTCGGCCTAGGAAGGGTTGGAGGGAGGGGGTAAATGAAGTTTTGTGTGAGAAGGGCTTGGACTTCCAGCAAGCATGCGTGAGTGTATTTGATAGGAGTGAATGGAGACAATGGTTTTAACTCTTGACGTGCTGTTGGAGTGTTATCAAAGTAACATTTATGAAGGGATTCAGGGAAACCGCAGGCTGGACTTGAGTCCTGGAGATGGGAAGTACAGTGTCTACACTCTGAAGGAGGGGTGTTAATGTTGCAGTTTTATAACTGTAGTGTAAAGCACCCCTCTGGCAAGACAGTGATGGAGTGAATGATGATGAAAGTTTTTCTTTTTCGGGCCACCCTGCCTTGGTGGGAATCAGCTGATGTGTTAATAATAATAATAAAAGTACTTACTGAGATATAAGCCCGCGAAGTTGGCACTGAATGCTCATCTGACGGCAGCATGGAGTCCTGCTGCTTGCAGAGTTGTTGCTGATATACCTTTTTTTTTTTCTCATTTTTATATTTTATATAATTTTTATATTCTGATAATTACAATTTATTGTAGGTAGTAGGTTGGTTGACAACAACCTCCCAGGGAGGTACTACTGTCCTACCAAGTGAGTGTAAAACGGAATCCTGTAATTGTTTTACATGATGGTAGGATTGCTGGTGTCTCTTTTCTGTCTTAAACATGCAAGATTTCAGGTATGTCTTGCTACTTTTACTTACATTTTAGTCACACTACACATACATGTACAAGCATATATATGCACACCCCTCTGGGTTTTCTTCTATTTTTCTTTCTAGTTCTTGTTCTTGTTTATTTCCTCTTATCTCCATGGGGAAGTAGAACAGAATTCTTCCTCTGTAAGCCATGCGTGTTGTAAGAGGCAACTGAAATGCTGGGAGCAAGGGCCTAGTAACCCCTTCTCCTCTATAAATCACTAAATTTAAAAAGAGAAACTTTCGTATTTCTTTTTTGGGCCACCCTGCCTTGGTGGGATACGGCCAGTTTGCTGAAAAAAAAAAATTACAATTTAAAGTAGTTCTTGTGATTTCATAGCCAATCTTTGTTCTGACACTAATATTATACACTGAAATTGTACTCGGATGGTCACAAACGCACTGACAGGTGAACATTTACACCTACCTTGGTCATTTACTATTGTCTAGGAATATATACAAAGTATTTATAGGTCCCAGCAATGTTTTAGACATGCTGGAGTATATATGAACCTCCTTGAAGCATGGTATTAAGAAAATTGTCACTAAACTGCTGACACTGCAGCAGTGGAAAGAGACTTGATGTTCATGCACTGCTGCATGGAACCCTGGCTTTGTGTTGTTTTTACTGTTACACATAAACATGTCTTGTTTGTCTAGCTATGTCTGCTTATCTGTCTATCTGTCTGCCTGTGGTCTGTCTTTCTGTCCACTTGTCTCTCTTGTCTCGGAGAGTGGCTCATGAACCAACAGGTATTACACACAATGCATAGTCATCACATCTGATTCTGATCAAGTGAAAATGCACATTACTTGCCAGTCATGCTTATTATGCCTTATATCTACAAGCACAGTATAACACTTTGTCTGGATTTCTTGGGTTATCCTAGGTAATTTACCCTGTATAATTGTATTTGTTTACCTGTGAGAGACAGGGATAGAGACAGGGACAGGGATAGAGACAGGGACAGAGATAGGGACAGGGACAGAAATAGAGACAGATAGGGAGAGGGACAGAAATACAGACAGGGACAGACATAGAGACAGGGACAGATAGACAGAGATACAGACGGAGATAGACAGCCAATCAGCCAGCCACCCAGCCAGCAGACCAGCCTACCGAACACGTATTACATGTTCCAGAATTATTTTTTTACTTAGGGCATAGGTTATAGGACATTCTGGCAGGATGACACTACCAGTGGTACCAAAATTAAAAGGATGTTGCACTTGGGTTATTATCGAGGCTTTTGGTATTTCCTCGACCACTTGTGGCCACATCCACCTCAGAGCCACTAAACTCAGGGTCGACATCACTTTCCTCTTAAAAGGGGAGCATTAATACAACATGACACCAATGAATCCCAGGTATTTGCCATGCTGTTTGCTCTAGCTGGCGCTCAATTTAACTGGTGCTCCCACAAGGTACTAAGTGGTCCCAGATTTTTTAATACTGCAGACACCGAGTGTTAAGACCCATTCTATGCTGACCAAGCATCTCAGACCAATCATGCCAAATTTGGAGGCAGTATGAACATAGATCTACATTTGGATAGTTAATGGGTTAATAAAGTAGCAGACTTTCAAACTGAGTATTGAACTCGAGATAATGCATTGTTTTAGGCCTTTTATAAACAGTTTGTTATACGAAAGCTTATTGATCTGGGTCTCTGTCAGAAAATATTTCAAACCATTTTTGCCATTTTGAAGAATTATTGCACAATTACCCCTTAAACTACCCAAAGGATGAAATGAATGTGCCAGCAATTTTGAAAAAAAAAATATATTAACCCTTAAACGGTCCAAATGTATATATATGTTCACGTGCATAGCGCCCCAAACGTATATATATGTTTTCTTTGTCATTCATTCAACACTGCCACGATAAGCCTGAGTCACCTAGACATGAGAGAATGGGTGTGCGCACTCACTGTGCACCATATTAAAATAATTGGGGACGCCTGGGTACCATATGCTCTTTTTTCCTATTAAAAAAAAAAATTTTTTTTTTCTCAAAAAATTTGGGGCGCTACGCGAGTGAACGTATACAGTATACGTTTGGACCGTTTAGGGGTTAAACTCTTATCTTTACAAAAAATTCTCCCTGATTTTAGAATGAGTGAAATTTGATTATTACTTAAGGAGATATGAAAGTTTGAAGGTGACACTGGTGATTTTTTATGGCAGTAAGAGTGCTTACCACGTGAGGGAAGTTGCTGTACTAAAATCTCACAATTTTTTTTTTTTTTTTTTTTTTTTTTTTCTAAAAAAAATTTATGGGTCATGCTTTACACATGTCTGTTTTCATATCACATTTCATTTATATTTACTGTTTAACCACACTGTACAAATGTAAACAGCATTTACTGGCATGCTTAATACAATTTTTTATACTGTGCACACCTGTGGCACAGACCTGTTTTCTCTGACGTAGTCCCATCCAGGCTTATCAGCACCATTTTGAAGTCCCTAGAATTTTGGTGTGAATTTATGTCATTGACATTTTCCCACTTGGCATAAACTTAGGCTATTGCCAGCTTAACCCTTTCAGGGTCCCCAGGCCCTCTCCCAGACTTGTTCTCAGGGTCCCCAAAATTTCAAAAAAAAAAAACTTAATTTTTCTTATGAAAACATGGAGAATCTTTTCCCGATCATAATGACACCGAAAGTATGAAATTTGATGGAAAACTTAGGGAATTATGCTCTTGCGAGGTTAGCGGTCTCGACGATGTTTACGCATTGGCGATTTTGCCCTCTCTGAGCCCTATTTCCGGTCAATTCCAGTGTACTAGTCAACAAAAATCATAACTCCATTTTTACTATCAAATGAGTACAAGGAACCACCCATTTACCAATTTCAACTGTTCAATACAGTGGTCAGAATTTAGCAATTTTGCCAATTTCACACAAATTTCAAAAGATGCCAATTTCCAAATAGGGTCCAGAATAAACAAAGACATTCCTGGCACTAAAATAACATTTCCTCTGTTCATTAGTCACATCCCCACACCCCTCTTACATGGTTTTGCTTTCCACTTTGAATTTTATTCTCACAAGAAAATAGAAGATTTACTGTTATGCAGACTACTGCATTAGTGTAGAAATGGTATAAATAATATCAGAGCACTTGTGAAAGAATATTAGACTCACCATTGATGTGTATGGCACTTAGCATGATTGTTACTTGAACTTGGTAAAAATCGAACATTTCTGCTACTTTGAGCTCAATTTCAAAGTACAGTGGACCCCCGATTAACGATATTTTTTCACTCCATAAGTATGTTCAGGTGCCAGTACTGACCGAATTTATTCCCATAAGGAATATTGTGAAGTAGATTAGTCCATTTCAGACCCCCAAACATACACGTACAAACGCACTTACATAAATACACTTACATAATTGGTAGCATTCGGAGGTAATCGTTATGCGGGGGTCCACTGTACTTTTCATTGTAAAACCAGTCAAAATCATCTCAATTTCTGTAATATGTCTTTCATTCTATAAAATGAGACCAGGAAAACTAGAATACAACAATAAATACCATACGAAAATACAGTGCAAAGTCTCTGTTTTAATCCAAAACACTGTCAAAGTTTTTTTTTTCTCATTATGCACTGTGTGGTGCAGGATTTTTTTTACACTGCACACACTGACCACATAGATTCATTCTTTCATATGTAGGCCTACCAGATTTCTCACGCTAGATTTGAGGGCGCTAGAATTTATGCGTACTAGTACGTCAAGGACCCTGGCGCGTAAGCCGCACTAGTACGGCCAAAACCCTGAAAGGGTTGAAGGTTATTCACAAGTTAAGACAACTTTTTAATAATTCAGTCTTTTCAAATAGTATATTAAGCTTTTCTGCATTATGTACAAACCAACATAAGACAAAAATTTAATATGGTTGTAAGTACTGAAGTCAATATTCTTTCATTTGGGGAGCATAAATTTGCTATTTATTCATTCAATATTTATCAAACATTATATCAGTTACAAAGTTATATATGCATATCTTTAGCTGTAAATGGTATAACACATGAATATGGGCTTTAAATATATGGCCTGGGTGCACTAGCAGTAGCATTAATAGTGGATGTTTGCCTCTGTGGCCCCAAGTAGCATCACTTTGTGGACACCACAGTTTTTGAGGAGTAGGCAGATCTAAAGCATTTTTTCTTGTCTGTGGCATTAATGCAAGTTCCATGGTGAAATGGAATAAAAAAAAAGGGTGCAAAAATGTGATTTAGGCAGTGAAAAAGATGAGAGTGATTAATTTTACATTAATCAACAGCTCTGGTGATGTTCTGGATGTAGACTACAAGCCAAACTCTCTGGAATGTTGTTGTTTGCTGCCTCTCCGACATTGTTTTATTGTTCCTGTTTTGGGCAATGGTCAGCAAGGCCTGTTTCGAGTAAGTGTTGTACAGATAGTACGCTTGAAATTATAATTATATGTATGGCTCTCAGAACCACAATAACACAATTACAAACGAATCACAGAATGGGTGGACAGCATCAAATCCATGGCAGACGAGCCCTAAAAGCCACAGGCAAGTAGTTGGTTTGAGTTTTAGGACTAGCCTGCTATGGGTTGGATCCCTACCCATTCTGTGATTTGTTAAATGTTTGTTATTACCAATAAAAATAAAGCTTGCATGGATGAGCTCATGGTAGGTGTATGGTACTCATTAATGTGATATGTACTAAGTGTGATTATTGAGGTGATAAGTGTAGATAGTAGGTTAGAAGACAACCACTACCCAGGGAGGTACTACTGTTCTTCCATATGAATGTGAAACAAAAATCTGTTAATTGTTTTACACTAAGGCAGGATTTTTTTTATACTGTGCACACTCATTGGACAAAACAATTCAAGTACACTGTGAATTAAAAGAAGGCCCCATCTTCATTCCCTTGAATTCTCAGTATTGGGTTTGTGAGGATAGAGCTCAATCTACAGTGCCCTGTCTCCGAAATCATTAATCAACCAGTGTGATTCATACCTGCATTTGCTTCCACTGCTTCCTCTGGTGCATTCAGCTTGCTCACTGTCTTCTCAGTGAAGTAGTTCTTCCTATTGAAGTTTGGTGAGGGGGAAAATATTTATTTGTAAAACTGTAGAAGCTTAGTGACAGTGTTTTATATACACAAATTTTGTTTGTGATTAGTTCATATGTAATTTTCTTGCGTAAGTTTCTAGTGTAATATTATTTATGTGTTTATATGTTCTGTTACTTGATTATTAGGTTTTACAATGTTAATGTTGACTCCTTCCTGTATACATGTACATATTATGTTAAAATTATAGGCTTGAATGTAATAGTACAGTATTCCTTGTAATAATAATATCTGGGTCCTCTCTTTTTGTTTCTTTCAGTTAATATTAATTGATCATCTGCTGTTCTGTTGATTTGGAAAAAGAATTGAGCTAAAAGTTTAACAGTATGCTGGAATCTAAAGAATTTTTCCTTGGATTTTCATTGATATTCATAATGAATTACCTTCCTTTGGTAGCTAAGGTGTGAATCTGAAGATATGCTGTTGTATAGCAGTGACAATCCAACACAGAGTGAGTGGGTTTCTACACTTAGCAAAGCAGTTAAAGAAGCAGTTGAGAAGAGAAAGACTTTACGTAAGGATTCCAGTGCCAGAAAGCCTCTGCGTAGGCCAGCACTCCGCAAATTGACCATCAAAGGAGATCCAGAGCAGCTAATTGCCCTGAAAGTAAGCTTTTACAATATTTTAATTATATGCTTTGACTCTCCTTTTCCCTCCAGTATGTTTACACTTAGTTTGTGCACTGTAGTTTAACCAATTTCTGCAGAAATGGGTTCCAGGAGATGTATGTAGGTACACTAGTGAGTTCTCAGGTCTGTTACACAGCATATCTGTTAATGATCCCGTGGATTGTTGTTCCTAAGATTTACCTGCCATGTAATGTGTTTGAAAAGGAAAAAAATTAGAGATCCTGCCAGAATGCAAAATGTACAGAAGGCTTCTATTTTTATATGACAAGGCAAAAGCCTTGTCAATACATTTTTTTAACCTCAATGGCCATCTCCCACCAAGGCAGAGTGATGCAGAGAAGAAAGCACACTCACCATCATTCATTTTGCCAGAAGTGTGCTAGCATCACTATTCAGATTATCCTTTGATAGGTACATCGTCATCCCTCCGTCAGAGTGCAGGTACTGCTCTTCCCACATCCTGAATTCAAGTCTGGCTGACCACTTTCCTCGAATCCTTTTATAAATGCTGCCTTATTCACACACCAATGACACGTCTATTAAAAACCACTCGTCTCCATTCACCCTATCAAAACACCAACACCACACACACACACACCACACACCAAACACACACACACACACACACACATCCCCCACACCCCACAAAAACACAACAAACCCACACCCACACACCCCCACACACACACCCCCACACACACACACCCCACACACACACCCCACACACCCCCAAAACCCCACACCACACCCCACACACAACCCCCACACACACAACCCCCACCCCAAACACCCCCCCACACACACACCCCACCACACACACCCCACACACACACACCACAAAACACACCCCCACACAAAACACACACCCACACACACACCCCACACACACCCCCCCAACACACACACCCACCCACACACCCCACACACACCCCACACACACACCCCACACACACCCCACACACACACCCCCACACACACACACACCCCACACACACACACACCCACACACACACACACCCCACACACACACACCACCCCACAACAAAAACCCCACACACACACCCCCACACCACACACCCCCACACACACACCCCACACACACACCCACACACACCACCCCCCCACACACACACAAAACCCCACACACACACACACACCCACACACACACACACCCCACACACACACCCCACACACACCCCACACACCACACACCCACACCCCACACCACACACCCACACCCCACACACACACACCCCCACACACACACACCCCACACACACACACACACCCCACACACACACCACACCCACACACCACACACACACCCCACACACACACACACACCCCACCACAACACACACACACACCCACACACACACACACCCCACACACACACACACACCCCACACACACACACACACACCCACACCCACACACACACCCACACACACACACACACACCCCCACCCACACACAACACCCCACCACACACACCCCACACACCACACACACACACCCACACACACACACAACCCCACACACACACCCCACACACACACACACACCCCCACACACACACACACACAACCCACACCACACACACACCCCACACACACACACACACCCCACACACACACACACACCCACACACACACACACCCCACACACACACACCCCACACACAACACACACCCCACACACACACACACACCCCACACACACACAACACCCCACACACACACACACCCACACACAAACACCCCACACACACACACACACCCACACCCACACACCACACACACCCCCACACACACCCACACACACACCCCACACACACACACACCCCACACACACACACACACCCCCACACACACACCCACCCCACACACACACACACCCCACACACACACACACACCCCACACACACACACACCCCACACCCACACCCCACCACACCACACACCCCCACACACACACACACACACACCCCACACACAACACACACCCACACACACACACACACCCCACACACACACACACACCCACACACACACACACCCCCACACACACACACACACACCAACACACACACACCACCCCACACACCACACACACACCCCACACACACACACACACACCACACACACACACACACACACACACACACACACACACCCCACACACACACACAACCACAAATAGGTGAGTACAAATAGGTGAGTAACAACACACACACACACACACACACACGCACGCACACACTTGCTGGATGCTCAAGCCCCTATAACTGAGTCTCCTTTCCTGTCTGTGTCTAACCATTCACGGGATCACCCCAATTCCTCCTGCCTTCCATTCATGATATATACATTCTCTTCCTTCATCCTCTTTACATGCCCCAACCACCTCAACAACCTTTGCTCTTCCCTCTGATTTATACCCTTGGTGATCCTACATTGCCTTTGAATTTCTGCACTCTGAATTCTCTGATGTTCACACCACATTTCACTGTCAAGCATGACGTCTCCATTGCCTCCAGCTTCCACGCTGCACCATTCAGAGCCCATATATTGCACCCATAAAAAAAAAAGTGTTGGTACCACTGTACTTTAGTACATTCCATTTTCTTTTGCTTCCATCTATAAACTTTCTTTACACAGATGCCACAACATATAACTCACCCTTATTCAGTCGTCTATTCAATGATTCACCTTGCCTTTCATCGACCCATCTTCTGACATGTCTACTTTTAAATATCTATACATATCCACTTCCTCCATACTCCCTACCTTCAATCTGTTATTCAGTTTATCATTGCTAAGACTTTTGTTTACCCTCATCACCCTGCTCTGTTCCATGTTCTTTTAATTTTCTTCTTTTACATACCCTCCCAAATTCTTCCACTGGTCTTTGCAACTTTTCTTCCCAAAAAGACCTGTCATCAGCAGAACAGCTATGATAATTCCCACTTTTTATCAGATTCAACCTCTATTAATACCCATCTCTTCCCAAGAACCCCATCTATAAATGTTAAATGAGTATGGCGATATTAATATTAAGCATCCTGTCTAAGTCCTACTTTCACTGGGAAATATTCCTCCCTCCTACATACCTTAACCTGAGCATAACTCTTCACTGCTTTTAGTACTCAATCTCTTTTTCCTTACATTCACAACATCTGCCACATGGCTCTCCTGTCTACTTTGTCATATGTCTTTTCTAAATCCTTAAATGCAATAAAAACTCTACCTTTATCTGAGGACTGTCTAGTTACGCCTCATTGTAAACACTGCCTACACATCCCCTAACTCCCCTAAATCCTTCCTACTCCTCTGCAATCCTACTTTGTCTTGCTCCTAACCCATTCAATAATAATTCGATCATAACCTTTACCTGTTATACTCAACAAGTTTAACCCTTATAATTTTTACATTGTCTCTTGTTCCACTTTCCCTTATAAAAGGGAATTGTGCATGCTCTTTGCAAGTCCTGTGGTACTTTTCCCCTTTCATGTATATATTGAACAAACACACCAATCACTCCAACACTGCATCCTCACCTATTTTGAATGTTTGTCTTTTTCTCTCTATCCTAGGTTTTTATTAAATTTTTCACTCCCCACTGCCTCAACACTTTCCCTGCATCCTCCTTAGGCTCCTGGCTCCTATATGATGTTATCTTTCCCTGCCCAGTGCATGAAAATACTGCCTTTCCTCCTTTCATCATTAACATTCATAAGCCTGTCAAAATAGGCATTCATGTGCATGTGTGTTTTTTTTTTTTATTATTATTTTTTTATTTTTAATTTTTGTTCATCAGATTTTAAGATAACCTTATTGTGCAAGTTAAAGAATTTTTCATTTTTTTGTACTGTACATGTTTAAAAATTTTTAAAAATTTGCCAGAATGCACAATATTCATTAACTACTATTATGAACCTCGGGTGATAATGATTCTGAATAGACTGCAATGTATGCCAATTATCATTATTATTATTAATCTGTGATCATTTTATTTATTAGAATAGAAAAATTTTTAGAAGTAGCCATCCTTAATATCCTTTAGTAATTTTGTCAGTTTTTCAGTAAATATGAAATTTGTTTTAGGCATCTAGAAGCTGTCTTAGTTGAGTAAACACATCCAGCTTATCGGTTTGTCAGTTTTTTTTCAACACATTGGCCGTCTCCCACCGAGGCAGGGTGACCCAAAATTAGATAATTCAGTTTAATGAGCAAAGTACTCATAGGTGGCAGCCGGAGACAGCCAAAGCTGCTTAAAAATTCCATCAGCTCCCCAAATAATAATACTGCTGCTTCAAACCAAGTTCCCTAGCCTCGTCCGAAACAGATTGCCACCTCTAAGCCCCTCCTGTATAAAAATTCTGGAGCTGCCCCTGATAATACTGTATATAGCTTTAACGTGTTAAAAGCAGGTGACTATTTGGATTTCTACTAACAGAATTTAAGAATGAATGTATATATTTTTTTTTTTCAACAAACCGGTCATAGCCCACTGAGGCAGGGTGACCTTAAAAGAAAAATGGAAGTTTTTCTTTTAAAATTTAGTAATTTATACAGGACAAGGGTTACTAGCCCCTTGCTCCTGGCATTTTAGATGCCTCTTATGACACGCATGGCTTACAGAGGAAGAATTCTTTTCCACTTCCCCATGGACATAAGTAAAGAAGAACAAGAACTATAAAGAAAATAAAAGAAAACCCAGAGGAGTATGTAAATATATATGCATGTACATGCATGTGTAGTGTAACCTAGGTGTAAGTAAAAGTAGCCAGATATGCCTATTATCTTATGTGTTTATGAGACAGAAAAAAGACACCAGTAATCCTACCATCATGTAAAACAATTATAGGTTTCCATTTCACACTCGTTTGGTAGGACAGTAGTACCTCCCTGGGTGGTTGCTGTCTAACACCTACTACCTCATAATGAATGTATATCATCTTCTTTCAACACACCAACTGTATCCCACCGAGGCAGGGTGGCCCAAAAGGAAGAACGAAAGTTTCTCCTTTTACATTTAGTAATATATACAGCATTTTAGTTGCCTCTTATGACACGCATGGCTTACAGAGGAAGAATGTATATCTTTCTTTCAACGTACCAGCCGTATCCCACTGAGGTGGGGTGGCGTGGCTCAGAAAGAAAAACAAAAGTTTCTCCTTTTAAATTTAGTAATACATGTATATACAGGAGAAGGGGTTACTAGCCCCTTGCTCCCGGCATTTAAGTCCCCCTTACGACACACACGGCTTACGGAGTAAGAATTCTGTTCCACTTCCCCATGGATAAAGAATGTATATCTTTCTTTCTTTCAACACACCGGCCGTATCCCACCGAGGCGGGGTGGCCCAAAAGGAAAAACGAAAGTTTCTCCTTTTACATTTAGTAATATATACAGGAGAAGGGGTTACTAGCCCCTTGCTCCTGGCAATTTAGTCGCCTCTTACAACACGCATGGCTGACGGAGGAAGAATTCTGTTCCACTTCCCCATGGAGGTAAGAAGGAAATGAACAAGATCTAGAAAGAAAATAGAAGAAAACCCAGAGGGGTGCATGTATATATGCTTGTACATGTATGTGAAGTGTAACCTAAGTGTAAGTAGAATTAGCAAGACGTACCTGAAATCTTGCATGTGTATGAGACAGAATAAAAAGACACCAGCAATCCTACCATCATGTAAAACAATTACAGGCTTTTGATTTACTCTCACTTGGCAGGACGGTAGTACCTCCCTGGGCGGTTGCTGTCTACCAACCTTCTACCTAGGAAAGAATGTATATATGCTCTATAATTTAATTACCTGTGTATTCATATAGAGCTTGGTGCTTCTGTTGCTTTTCATTTATTTAGGTATTATATATGATAAGTGAATTAACTTAGGTGTGTAATGAATTTATGTACTTATATAGTGTTCTAATTGAAACCTGTATTAGGCTACAAAGCATCAAGATGAGAGCTCTGAAGATGTTCTTGGGTCATCAAGAATACCTATACCCAATTCCCCTAAGGTTTTGAAAACTAAAGCAGCCTTCAAAAGAACACAAGAATCTCCTAGCTCTTTGATGGCACAGTTTCTTCAAGCACATGACTGTCTGACTCCACCGAAGTCATGGCTATCACCCAGCAAGAGACACAAGGCTACAGGAGACAGCAAGAATCGCCATAAAGGAGAAGAAAAATTCAAGAAGCCTTTGCCATTAGTGGACTCGCCAGAAGAAATAATTACAGTTCAGAAGAAGCAGAGACGACCTTTGTCTCTAATGCATGATATGTCAGGGGAGAGAGAAAAAGAGAAGGCGAATGTTAGAAGGCTAATTAGTGCTCAACCATCATCCTACTCCCCTCGGTGTTCTCCGCAGTATAAACCTTCCCCTCTTGCTAGATGATAGTTTATTGTATTATTATCCCAGTGTTCTCAGTATAAACCCTTGGTCTTGATAGTGTTTATCCATTCTTATTCTCACCAGCATTTTGAGTATAAATCCTACCTCTTGCTAGATAGGGTTTGTCAGTCATCTTGTTCTCCTTGGTATAAGCCTTCCCTTCATACTAGCTGACAGTGTACATTCATTCTTATTCTGTGTGTTGTTTTCCTCTATATAAACTCTAACTTCTTGCTAGAGTATAGTGTTTGTCCATTATGTATATTATTCTCAGTTTTCCCGTTTTTCTATTGTCTTACTCTCCTCTGTGCTCTCAGTTCACACTATTCTGTCTTGCTAGGTGATAGTTTAAAATCTGTCATCTCATACTTAATACTTATATACTGACACAATAGCTACAGCATTGTTAAAGTAATTGACCTGACAAGGCTATTTCTAGCTTTTTGGTTTTATTTTAACCATTTTTAATCTTCCACACAAGGAAATGTGCAGTAAATTTGATAAATACATTGACAGATTGTTAGAATGGTAGAAGTTATGCATTACACAATCATAAATGTGCGAAGTGATTATACCGAGTGAAAATATTCAAAGCATTAGTTTAACAGGTAAAAAAAAGTAATCTTAGTTTTATTAAAAACTAAGATTACTTTGTCACTTTCACTCAAGATAAGATCTACTTGTCAGTGTGAGTGTTACTGAACAGCAACTGTGGGGTGTCGTCTTGATATTCAAAACATATTTATGTGGTTTTAAGAATTACCAAATTAATTGCTCATTATGATCAGGAGGAAGAGCTAGACCCACGCAGTCATAATATTGGTGAGAAATTAGAGGCAGTCAGGTTTGATCCATGGAATGGTGGGATTGGTCTAGTTCCTTGGATCAAGATTGAGATCAGTATACCTTTGAAGGAAATCGTAATCATGAATGATTACCAATTACTTACCTGATTAAAAATGTTAACCAGACGATCATGTGTAATATGCTAGTACCCAGTTTGTAAATGGTTCAAGTCGGACCGAAACGTTGCCGTAAGTTCCTCTTCTATGTGTGGGTTATTTGTGTATTGTTCCAGTCACGGTATTGTGCCTTTTATTTTGTTATTTTGCCCCTCTCCCTTTCCCTTCCCTTTCCTCCTGTCTTTAAACATCCCACATCACAGCAGTAATCTCTAACTTCTTAAAATTAACCTTCGTTGCAACAGAGAAGAGGCAAACACCGTATTACTGGCAAATGTTTGACAGGCAGTATGGTGAATGCTCATCCCAGTGACATCACAAGCAAGCACACTAGTAAGTAATTGTTTTTTTCCACAATTTGTCAATATCTTATGTCACAGTCACATCTTCCTTTGCCAGTTATCTTTTTTTGTGCACACTGACTCTCTCCCAAGGTATGATGAGACACCCACCCCCTCCCCCCAAGAAAAGGAACACATTCATCATCATTTATTCAATAGGTGTTTTTACAGACATCATAATTTTAATGATCCTCTAGGACTCCAGTCTGGCTAACCAGTTTCCCCAAAATCCTTCATAAATGTTACTTGCTCACACTCCAACAGTATGTAAAGCCATAGAAACCACTTGTCTCCATTTACTGCAAACACCATCCTCACACACTCATGTTTAGTGCAAGGGGCTTGAACATCCAAAACCTTTATCCCCTCTCTCCAAAATTTTCTGAGATGACTCCTCTCTCTCCCTCCCTCCGTCCACTCTACTATTTGTACACCTTCCCGGTCATCCTATTCAACTCTTTCATCTCTGAATGCTCAAACCACCTTGACAACCCTCCTTAGCCCTTTAGTGACTTCTCACCTTGTTTCTATGCTCCAAATTCTCTTCTTATTCACAACACGCATTGCTTTCAAACAATGACATGTTCACTGCCGCTGGTCTCCTTACCACAGTATTTAAAGCCCATGCCTCTCGCCCATTTACTTTGGTACATGACCCTTTTTTTCTCCATAGATAACACCTCTTTCTGCAGATGCTTCAACACAATGCCTACCTTTTCCCTCTCCCCCTTTGTCTATTCTATGATTCATCTCATCTTTCAGAGACACATCTGCTGACATATCCACCTCCAAATATCTAAATCATTTTACTTCATACTCCTTCCACTCTGATATTTAATTTTTGCCTAGACTGCTCTTTTCTGTTGTCTTTTAATATTATCGTTTTACACACACCCTTCCAAATTCATGTACCTGTGCCACCTCTCTTCAGAATTTCTTCCTCTCCTTCTTTCGTTGAGTGTTTCCTTGATATCTTCTTTGAATCGAACCTTATTTCCTGTCGTTCTCTTGGATGCTGTATAACTTCTATGTATTTAGTGCTCCTCCATTCCCCATAAATGCAATAAATTTAGAATCTCCCAAAGAAACTGTCATTGGCAAAGAGTAATTGTGACAACTCCCATTTTATATCAGATAAATTATCTTTTATTCCCCACATCTTGCCCCAAGGCCCCTGGCTTTCACTTCTCTTAGATATTAAACAGCCATGGATACATAACACATCCCTGCCTCAGTTTCTGCATAAAATATCTTTACTGACTTTAATAACCTGCCATCTCTTCCATTCATTTGCAACATCAGCCACAGTGCTTCCCTATCATATGCTTTTTTCTAAATCCAAGAATGTGACAGTTCCTTACCCTTTTGTAAAACTCCTGGGCTTCCTCAAGATGTTTATCTCTAACTGTTGGACCTCTTGGGAGGACTGAGGTTGGACTCTTCAGGAAGTTGGATTGTAACCCCCATCTCTCCTTTCAAGGTTTGGAGATACAGTTGTGTCTCTTGGATGTGTTGTTGTACAGACATTTGCATTGTAGAATAGAGGGAATACCTTTCTCTGATTGTCCTGTAACTGAAACTAAGTCCAGTTTTGATGTAAATGGTTTAGAAGACCCACAAGTTGAAGAATTAGACACCTTTGTAAAGTGTCTAATTTTCCAAGTCCAGTTTTCATTGTTTCTTTTGTAACCTTTTGCCTATTTTTAACAAAATAACTGCCTCTTTTAATCTCAATGATAACCTAAAGTTTTCCTGTTGAGCTGCCTCCTAATTCTTCCCATTTCACTCAAATCGTCTATCAAAGGGTTGAAAGTTTTTGACTTGTTTCTTTTTATTACAGTACATCTCTTGTTATTTTTTGCAATTCAGCAGATTGGTGGTGGAGCATATACCTCAGCTCATATGTGTACACATTTTGAAGCCCTTTCTATCCTTGTTTTTTTTAATCTTTTAGCCGGGATCCAACCTTTCCAATATGCCTCTTTTTTCATTCACTCAACATTAAGTGTTAAATTATCTATTAGTTAAGTGCTACAAATAACTCTGCCATCCCTTGTAACTTGGGTTAAGTACCATCATCTCTACTTATCTCCATTATCTGGTAATGGTCATAGATGTAAAGAACCCTTTTTCTGTACAAGATAATAACTTTCTCATTAAAATGAAAAAGGGATATTCCATGCATCATATTTTAAGACCTTACTGTCAACCCTGCAATGATTTACCAGAGCTGAATTTGCATAGATTTTATTTTTAATCTTGCCAGTATTTGCTATTTTATAGTGCACTTCATATAATAATCAGTATTCAGTAAGACAGTAAAATTAAGACTTGCTTCAAGTGTCTTGTCGAATAAAAATTAACTAACAGTTATGAAAACAAAACCTTACACAGTGTGCCTCATCCATATACAATATGTGAAATATAATGAGTTTTAAGTAATAAGATATTTTTCAATTTATTGTAATTTAGTATTTAAGTGTATGTTAAATAATTATATCACTTTGTATTTGGAGCTCTTTTTGTTAAAATTTCAGGTAAACATATTCAGTTAAAATTTAAATGTACATTCATTGTAAATATTCAGTCACAGTAGATCGTTGGTTAACATGCGATTTGTAAACACATTTTCACCTTAACACAGCTGCAGAATTGCATAATATTTTCAGTAAACTGTTTTAGTCAGTTTACACAGTGGAGTACACATAAGGGAAAATGTGGCATGTGTCAGGTTCCTTCTCCTAAGTATTAACAGAGAAGGGAGAGTCCATTCTCTTACAAGGAATGCCTATAATGTACACAACATCCCCCACTTCAGTGCTTTATTTGTATGCATGCAATGACATAGTCAGCCTGTGTTAATAAATATGTTGTTTGTCTTTACATCTCACCTCTGGATGGTAACAAAGGCACCCAACAGGAATGCGAGTGATCATGAAAGCAAAGAAGCATATGCACAAAAGTTTTAGTGCATTGAAGAAAATTGAGATATTAGATGAGCTTGAGAGTGAAGCATGTGTGATGGAGACTGCAAGAGCCTATAGCCTGAACAAGGCATTAGTTTGCACAGTTTGGAAGAAATGGGCAAAGATGTGAGTTTGTGCAGTGAATATTCTAGGTTTTAGTATGATAAGAATGACAGTGGATGAGTTTAAGAATGTGTGTAAAGGTAGAAAGTTGAAAGTGAACATAGAAAAGAGTAAGGTGATGAGGGTATCAAATGATTTAGATAAAGAAAAATTGGATATCAAATTGGGGAGGAGGAGTATGGAAGAAGTGAATGTTTTCAGATACTTGGGAGTTGACGTGTCGGCGGATGGATTTATGAAGGATGAGGTTAATCATAGAATTGATGAGGGAAAAAAGGTGAGTGGTGCGTTGAGGTATATGTGGAGTAAAAAAACGTTATCTATGGAGGCAAAGAAGGGAATGTATGAAAGTATAGTAGTACCAACACTCTTATATGGATGTGAAGCTTGGGTGGTAAATGCAGCAGCAAGGAGACGGTTGGAGGCAGTGGAGATGTCCTGTCTAAGGGCAATGTGTGGTGTAAATATTATGCAGAAAATTCGGAGTGTGGAAATTAGGAGAAGGTGTGGAGTTAATAAAAGCATTAGTCAGAGGGCAGAAGAGGGGTTGTTGAGGTGGTTTGGTCATTTAGAGAGAATGGATCAAAGTAGAATGACATGGAAAGCATATAAATCTATAGGGGAAGGAAAGAGGGGTAGGGGTCGTCCTCGAAAGGGTTGGAAAGAGGGGGTAAAGGAGGTTTTGTGGACGAGGGGCTTGGACTTCCAGCAAGCGTGCATGAGCGTGTTAGATAGGAGTGAATGGAGACGAATGATACTTGGGACCTGACGATCTGTTGGAGTGTGAGCAGGGTAATATTTAGTGAAGGGATTCAGGGAAACCGGTTATTTTCATATAGTCGGACTTGAGTTCTGGAAATGGGAAGTACAATGCCTGCACTTTAAAGGAGTGGTTTGGGATATTGGCAGTTTGGAGGGGTATGTTGTGTATCTCTATACGTATATGCTTCTAAACTGTTGTATTCTGGGCACCTCTGCAAAAGCAGTGATAATGTGTGAGTGTGGTGAAAGTGTTGAATGATAATGAAAGTATTTTCTTTTTGGGGATTTTCTTTCTTTTTTTTGGGTCACCCTGCCTCGGTGGGAGACGACCAACTTGTTGAAAAAAAAAAAAAAAGAATGACAGATAGGTCAGAACAGCTAAACAAGACTAAAAGTTATTGAGTGACAGTATTGTGAAGAAAACTAAGAGGTGCATCACTTAATTTAATCTTAATAAGGAAAAAAGCCTTAAAGTAATATAAAATAGTGTGGGGGTTGGAAGGATGGTCTAAATATTTTAAGTACAGGCTGGTTCCATAAGTTCAAATTGTGCAGTTAGTTTTATAATATTAAATTTTCTGGCAAGTCTTTCTGACCACATTGCTGCAGAGAATTTCCCTGCTGAATTACAGGAAATATTATTGAGGGTGGCTACAAGCCAAAGCAAGAGTTTCATGCTGACAAAACAAGTCTATTGGAAAATCATGCCAGTGAGAGCTTGCATCAGCCAGCAGGAGAAAAATACACCAGGATTCAGGGATTGCTTCAACTTGCTACTTTGAAGTAATATATCAGGGAATTTTAAGTGTAAGCCTATGGTTATTTACTGCCCCAAGACCCCTTGCTTTGAAAGGTACAGGTAAAAACCTCAAAATTGTAATAAAAAAAAAATAATGTAACATAATGTTACATAAATAATATTTCTTACCTTCAGTTATGGTTGCTGGTTTATGTTGATGGGTTCGAGGTGGAAGGTTGTAGATTGTTAGCTGAGGTGGATGGTTGAGGCTCTAGCATTAACCCGTAAAAGGTCCAA